CAGTAGTATTTGCAAAAATTATCTCGAATAAAAACTGTATAACTATAAACTGTGTCGTTATCAGGGGCGTCGCTAGATATTTTTCAGTGGGGGAGGGGGGATGGTGTAAAGGCCACCAATTACCGACAAATAAATTAATGCCAATGTCCAAATGTCTACAAATTTAACCCTATAATCCTGGGGCCATGAACTAAGTTATTTTTCAGTTTTCCCCCTCCTACGCAAAGCGCGAAAGTTTCGACTCTTAGTTCTTGTTTGCGCGGAAGCTATGACGTTTCATTTAATTATTAGAGAAAGAAAGCGATTCAGTGTACCGGTCCCGACTCTAAATCCTTGTCTGAATTTAGTTTCCACCCCCCCCCTCCTCCTTCCGCGCGAAGCGCGGATGCTTTGACGTTTCAATAAATTATTACTCTTAATCCTTGTCTGAATTTATTTTCGCCCATCCCGCGCAAAGCGCGGAAGCTTTGATGTTTCATTTAATTATTACACTGTAAAAAAAAGTTGGGCAGATGCTACTGGGTAAATCTAATTTGGGCAAATTTTGTCCAATAATTTTATTTCTCCTAACCATTTACGATATGAAATTACCTAATGAAAGGTAAAAATAGATTGGGTAGATGTTACTGGGCAAACGTTATTCGGGCAACAATTATGCAACAATAGAGTTCTCTTCATAAAGTAGAGGTGGCGTGGTCGAGTGGATATGTCACAGGACTGTGCATCACAAGGTCGCGGTTCGAGTCCCGCCGCAGAACTGATGTCCTTTTATATATTATACATAAAATATTTTATCCAACTTAGTTGCCCAACTAGTGCCTAAAATCGGGTGAATTTCTGTTCTGGTAAATTTTTGTTGGTTAAAATTTGGGTATTTTCTTTTTATCCAACAGTTGGTTGGACACATAATCGCTCTGCTGTTAGGTAAAAATTGGGCAATTTTAGAGTTTACTCTTGATCCTTGTTTGAATTCATTTTCGCCCTTACCGCGCGAAGCGCGGAAGCTTTGATGTTTCATTAAATTATTACTCTTAATCGTTGTCTAAATTCATTTTCGCCCCTCCCGCGCGAAGCGCGGAAGCTTTGACACTTCATTAAATTATTAGAGAAAGAAGACGATCCGTTGTACCGTTCTCGACTCTTAATTCTTGTTTCGCCCCTCCCGCGCAAAGCGCGGAAGCTATGACGTTTCATTTAATTATTGGAGAAAGAAGACGATTCATTGTACCGGTCCCGGAATTTGTTACTAGTGTTACTGTTAGTGGCCACTATAAGGCCCTTTAAACAACATTCTTCCTGGCTATTTAGGAATGTGTCAGTTTGCAACAGAAATGTAGAAAAGCGTATTTTGTAGAAATCATGTGATATCACGAACACTTATACATCACTCGTATATAGAATTGAAGAAAACAAATTAAGGTTCAATTTTATTTGAACCCCAAGCCCCCCCCCCCCCACCAGTACGCCAGTGATTGACGCAGTGCATATCACTCTCACGTGAGGCGTCAGATAGCGCACTAGTTATTGACGCAGTGCATATCACTCTCACGTGAGGCGTCAGATAGCGCACTAGTTATTGACGCAGTGCATATCACTCTCACGTGAGGCGTCAGAGAGCGCACTAGTTATTGACGCAGTGCTACGTCAGTTAATTGACGTCTTGTGTGGAACGAATACAAGCGTTCGTCCCTTGGTCCCATTTCCCAATAATCCCATGCCGGGTATAATTATGTCCCATCCACATACACCAACTTGTTGCTGTGACCTAATGTGGCCAATGGGCATAGGACCAAGAACGTTTTGTCTTATTTGAATTTTTGCTTCAGACGGTCCTACATCATTTCGGAATGATTGTTTTAAATGTTGATAGTGTAGTGGTGTGTTTGGATCATCAGCTTTTGAAGGACCGATCTGGCCTTGTGTTGCAGAGCACTCTCCTTGGTACAGTCGAGCCAATAATTATGGAAGATAGATATAGAGAGAAAACTCTGAGAGCATCCGTAAAAGTGCTTGAAAAATTGAAGCGTGCTAATAAAGAAGGGACCATATAGAGTCCGGGTGATCGAGACTTCTAGGTCAGTATTAAATCCATGGGGGGGGGGGGGGGAGGCTGGTGACCTCTCTCTCTCTCTCTCTCTCTCTCTCTGTCGTTCTTTCCCTCTCTTTACACATTAGTACATGTATCTTGATCATGGTGACAAGCCCTTTATTCCTTTTCTTCGTCTTTATATGGAAGGTCCATCCACTGACTCTATTTTCTTGATTTTACCTCTTCGAAATTATCATCTGCATGTGAAAGAAAGAAAGGAAGAAAAAAGATCTAGGCCTTGAAATTGCAACACTGCCCTTGAAAGGTTTTAGGGGGCCACAAAAGCGGCTCAGATGTAACCTATCAATTCTCTCTCTGCTCGACCACATCAAACAATATATAGGCATAGTAACACCATATTGTGTAAACTCGTCCAAATGTCATTACCACCGAGGCAATATAATTGCCCTGTTCGTGGTCATTTAATTTCTGACACCTATCCCCTTTCAGCAAACAATGAACTTCAGAACTATTCTATTATCTTTCGATGTGCTATCCAATAGCTTAAAGGTGAGAGGGTCTATTCAATTATTCAGTGATGTAATTATGTATGCTGTAATATACCTCTGCGTGTATCCTCCGGCCTCCGACATACTTCTATTCTCAGGCTTGTAAATACATTCCGGGGTTTATTGTACTTTTTTGATTAATTTCTTTGAAGGTGAAAATAAACTTAGCCTAGTGTCCAGTGGAGCGTAATAACTGAATATTATTTCAATATTCTTGAATTGGCTTGGGGTCCATGCATTTTATTCGCCATTTGTCTCCTGAAATTAATTTGGAGGTTTCAAGAAATTTGAGAGGTGGGGGTGAGGGCTTGAGCGCCCCTTCCAACCCTCAAGAACTGTTGCTGCTTTCATTTGGAAGGTCATCACAGAAGACACAACACGCTCTTTCAAAGCTCTTTATAACAAATCTATAACAAAGACATATTTTCTTTTTTCAAACTTCCATGTATCGATATATTGTGATTGAATGAGATTAGATACTTGTTTCGCAAATGCAGTACAGGCCCCTTATTCAAAGCTTTTCCACGACTCAGTATGTTCTTTTTTGAGGGGTCGATGACAGGTCCTGCAAAAGTTCTTTCTATACTTTAATTTGATTTTGTTATTTCAAAGCAGAGCAATGTCACAGCACGCGTTTAAAGTCCTTTGTGTGATGTAGCCTTTTGACAAACACAAGTCATAATTCTTCATGGGGAAAATTATGTGTTTTTTCAACGATCAATTTGTAACAAGACCCATGGAACTGAGAGGGGTAGGGGGCCAGGACAGCCTCCCCAACGTTTGTTTAGTAAACACATTGAGTAATGCCTATATTTAGTTGTAAATTATGATCAGTCGCTTGCTCACATCATGCTCACGTCACCCCCCCCCCCCCCACATTCCCGGCCGCGATTTTTTTTCCCTGAACCTTTGGGGCTTCATTATATAAATATTCATGAGTTGCGGCTTGGGAATAACACTGCGCATGCGCGTGGACTTACCTCACAACTCCTTCTCATAATGCAAATGTGTACATACATTTCATTCAATATCGAATAATACACTCTTGTATATTGTTTATCTGTGAATTGAATGTGTACGATTTAATCTGAATATGAATTTGAAATAACACGGCTCAATATTGTTGGTAAAGAAAAACAAGTCGACTCTGTGTGTGCACATGAAACAATAATGCACCTTTTCCTTCTCTTAAATGCCCTCTTTTCACCCTAATAATTGCTACATTGACTATCAAAATCTAACAGGTGCCCATTTTCGTTTATGATAAGCGCTCCTTTTCCATTATAATAAGTGCCCCTTTTCATCTCTGGTAAGCGCCTCTTTTCAGGTGCATGAAATTCCTCTTTTCTGATATTTTTGTCTTTAAAAAAAAACTTTGACTCGTGTCCCCTAGCCTTTTCAATAAGTACACTTTTTTATACTTCTGACAGGTGCCCTTTTCACTTTGTTATAAGAACCCCTTCCTTTTCTGTTGAATGCTACTTTTCACCTCTGATAATTGCCCCTTTTCCTTTCTTATAAATACCAGATTTCCTTCGGATAAGTGCCCCCTTTACCTCTGTTTCTATGAGCCCCTTCCCCTTTCAAAGTGCCCCTTCATTCGATAAATTCCCCTATTAAAATTTGACAGGTGCCCTTTTCTTTCAACATATGCCCCATTTCCATTCTCACAAGAGCCTTTCTTTATCTTTGAGTGTCCTTTTTTACCTTAAAACGCGCACCTTTTCTTTTTTGATAACCGTGTCCTTTTCCCTTCAGATAAGTGCCAACTTTTCTTTTCTCTATAACATGCACGCCTAATTAAAGCCAATTTTTCTTAATTTTCCCTAGAGATCGCTCACTATGCCCGCTCAAATTTATAGTTGTTGTAACCATGTTACTAATAAAAAAACTGTCAGTCTTTCTTCATTAGATTGTGCTTAAAACTCAAAACTCAGTAGGGTCTGTGTTTTTTACTCTTGATAAGATGAATTTTTTCGCACTCCGACCTCACAAATCTTTTTGTTTTGCTCGCTCGAAAATTAATATTCTAACCATCACATCCTACGGCAAAGTATATTGCCTAATCACTATCTTGTACCACGTAAAAAGAGAACAAATATTATTGTCATCCCTGGTACCCGGTCCTGGTAGTGTAATCACAATCATGACGATGTAGGTTATACAAAATTGGTGTATGTTCACTTTGAGAGGTTTCCCTTTCCCCCCAGAAAGTGCCCTTTTTTGTTGGTGCCCCCCCCCCCATTTTGGAAGACGCTCCGTCGGCCCTGACTGTAGGCCTACTCGCGCTAAAAGAATAGTTTGTGGAGGGGGGGGGGGGGGGGGGGGGGGGGGAGGGACGGGGACAAAACTACATGTATCGTAGGTGGATTTTTGGCCAGCTAGTTGCACTGCGCATGCGCTGTCAATTGCCATAGCAGACTGTAAACTTTACCGTTTAAACTGTGTGGTCGACCGACCCAACATTTCTTCGTAGAATATAGAGTCTGAGAAATTTGGTGAGTGAAAGTATTTCCGTTTGTAGAACACTTAATAGGACAAATCTGAGCATTCTACCTGAATGATGAAAAGCTTGTTCGGGAGAAGAATTAAGCATTACATTACGTACCATGACACATCTGCCAATTGCACAAGCCCCACGTACTCACATCTGTGTTTGTAACTAAATCCTATTTACCTAGATCTATTTGCATTGACTCGAAAACTTCGAACTGTTTACTTATAAATGTGATAAGAATGTGTTATGTTATTGTTTACTTTATATTAGCGTTTACGATGATACATATATGTTGGATGTTTTTTAAGTACTAATTGTAGAAATCTAGAGGGTGTCTGAACGATTTTTCAATTTTCAATTTGGGATCGTTTTTCACCGTTATGCCTAGAGTAAAGGAGCCCGTAATCGGCCAGCTCCAGTTTTCGGCCGATTGGTTGGATGCAAGGTAAAATCGCTCTAAAATACATCGCATAATAGCATAACACATATCCCACACATACCATACCATGCCAGTGTCACTGAAGAACCACATTTGCAATGGAAAATAATGTATATCCTAAAATATCACATTTTAGCGATGTAATCGCCGGTCCCGCTACCCAAATCTGAAAAATCGAGTATCTTACGCGTGTCTGTAAGAAATATGGGTACCATAAAATGAGCTTTTTTTCAAGTATTTTTCAGATTTAAAGCCCGATTTTGTGCTGGTCGCAAGCTCAAAAGTATCTCATCGCATGTATTAAATCAATGCAGCCGCACACCGCGACGCACACACGATATCTCTGTCTAATTCAGATTCCAACTTCCGATCACCGCTGTGCCCGTCTTCGGCCAGGCGAGCACCAGGGAGCTCCGGCGTGGGATACCTGCTCCGCCCGCTTGTGCTGTACATCAGCGCGGAAACGCACGGCGCGCGCGAGCGCTTCCTATTGACTTTGTACATGCGGCCGTAAACTGAAACGCTCGGCCGATAACGGGCTCCAAAACAGTGAAAATTGAAATGAATATTGTCATGGCAATTCGTGATTTTTTTCTGGGATTCTTTTTTTGTTTAAATAATAATAATATTTGCTTCATGATTTGAACAAGAAATGATAATAAATAGGAAGTAAAGAGTCCTAAAAATAGGATTTTGTCTTAAGTGGCCGAAAACGGGCTCCTTTACTCTATGGTTGAATAATTAATAAACAATGTGATAACAATAACAAATTTCAAATTTCAAGACTCACCGATGTTTCTATCAAATGATACAGCCCCTCAAAAGCTCTGCAATATTCATAGAGTTTTGGCTTTTGCCTTTTTTGGTCAGAATCGAAGACGTAGGGTCTACACGCAGAGTTAGAAATCTATGTTGTTTTGCCAAATTTAGCCAAACAGCTGTATTCCGAAATATGCAAGCGCAACTTGAATTTCAATTTGTTCATAATTCATTGACCAATTTTGCATGATCGCGCAATGCACATAGACTGCATAGGGATGCGTGCAATCTCTATGGGAAGGATTTTAGCACACAACATTGGGTGCACGATCAGACATCCTACAGTACTAATTGGACCTCTCCTTTTTCTTCTCCATTTTTCCGTTCCTTCTTCTTCATCTTTCATTCCTTTGATTCAAGTTCTTATTCTGAACCTATTTTTTACTTGTTAAAATTGTTCAAGTAGGTCTACTAGAGTAGGTCTACATTTTGTTAATGTTTCAACAAGGGAAAATCTACCCCAAAATAGAAGAGTTGCCATGGTAATATTTATCTTCATTACCCATGTTTTGGCTGCGGTTTTTGGCTAAGGTAAGCGGCGGTAGTGTTTGGCAGCACCTACTAATAAACTAAGAGAATTTCTTACAAATGTGCTGATAAAAAACCCAGCATAAGTAACTATGAGAATACACCCGATTGTGGCCTAAACTTATATTGAAGAAGAAGCTTAAGCTAGTGTCCAACGCCAGAGTTCTTCGCATAGGATGTGACGGAATCCAGCAGTTTAAGAAACTGGCATAGCAAAAGTACTGTAAAGAGTTATCGCATGTGTACTTCTCAATTTCTCGATTTTCAATAACTTCAACGTGTGATGAGACTAAAGCTAAACTTGAGCTCTGGTAAGGGCATCGTACATGTACAGTGTATGTCGAGAGAACATGGCTATAATTCATTCTGGATTGTTTATCCTGCAATAATTTGATTGTTTGAACCAGTAAAATAAAAACAACTTCACAGACATTTTTTGGAAATCATCATCAATAAAAACCACAACTCTCATTTTCACATAGTGATCAAGCCTACAAGTACCTGCCTTGATTTCCTTCTCTTTCTATGCTCGTTAGTCGGCCCCTATACTTGTTCTACCAAAATTGTTTTAGCACATGTAATATTGAACATTCAGTGTAAGTTTTGTTGGATTCTGTAAGAATTTATTTTCTATCATTACCAGAACACAAGGTTATCGTTAAGTTTGCGGCACACACAAACAATTATGATCTAAAATTGAAATTTCTTGAAATACAACACAATTTTTGGAACCATGTTGCCTGTACAGACAGGTTTTATTAGATGCGCATTTTCAGTTCGAATTTAGATATTCATGTGTTTTGTGGGGGAGGGGGTGGGGGGGGGGGGGTTTAAGTTGTTGCATGTGATTGTGAGTCTAGAAAAGGATACTCGATACCCGATATGCCTCAGAACGAACTATCTGCGGTATGTCAGCCATGTTTCGCCAGTATAATCAGCTAAATTCAGCAAAAGAACCTACCTTTTCAATCTGGGTTGATCAAATATCTGTAGTGTAGGCAATGGGTTAAATTCTGACGTGAATTGAGAGCATCCATGTGTTTGCACAGTATTGTATGAAGTCAGTGTGGCACGGCCATGATATGGATCTTCGGAAAGAAATAGGAGTTGAATATACTAGAGTACATAGCATATGTAGGACACATCCTCCTTTTTTTTTAAACATGCCGCCATTTGATGTAAATAGAGTCTACTCGGTCTAGTAAAGATGTTTACATATTAGCTCACTACAAACACAAATCACTAAACTGCACACACAGTATTAGTTACTATAGTAGCAGGGTGTTCCACAAACAAAAAATCAAACATGTAAAATTGGAACTTGGCGGGAGTATGAATCAATGTTTGATGAGCACAAAAACCCTTGTGGCTGGGCTCCGGGCTTGCTTGAGGCTATCCTGCTGCAATCTGAGCCACATTTTGAAGCAATTTCAAACAAGTTTTATGACTACCCGTACCGTAATATTTCATAAATAATTTGGTCGAGAATGATGCAGCTGATTTTCGGACATGTACAGTCAAAATTCAATCTTTTCACGATTTTCAAACCTGTAGAATTAAAATTCAAACGTATTGCTGTTACACGTTTAACCCCCTTTTGGATCGCCCTGATAGTTGCCAATATATAGAGCATACCATCTGTATATATGGTCGCTACATACATGTACATGTACATGTAAACATGTATATGTAGACACATGAACATGTGCATGTAGTGCTAATAGTCTCATGTATGCACAATCATTTAAAATGCGCTGTATCTTTTGTTTTCTTATTTTCATTGATTACAGACAAGGTTTGAAAGCAGAGCTAGAGTACACAATGGCAGACATCTATTATGCTGCAGGTGATGTAGGTGTGATACTGCCACAGATAGTCAAGGAACTCCAGAAGACAACCTTGCATTCACAACTCAAACAAGCAGCACAGGTAATAAGGACTAAAATAAAAACTTGTTGTATTGCCCTTTGTGACCGACCCCAATTTTTTTTTAAACCTTTTTAAAAAAAAATTTTGTTATTATTAATGAATACAAAAATATGTATTTTGTTTGTTGGGATAAATGGGATATAAATGCATAAAATCAAATCATTCCCAAATTCTCTCTTGTGTTCTGCCCTAGTTTCAAAATCCTACTAGCGTAAACATCTTGATCAACACAACATTGCAAACCATGGATGAGGTGAAAAAGATATGAATGGAATCATGACGCTGAAACACATGTATTAAAGCATTAAAAACTCAGAAATATCAGCCAAAAGAGGGCGGAAAAAAACCCAAAAACAAACATTAAAAACTGAAAAATATCGGCCCAAAGAAAAAAAAGTTTAAAAAAAAAAAAAAATTCTGACCGACCGACCCATGTTTTGACACCCAAAGGGCAATACAACAAGTTTTTTATTTATTTTAGGCCTAATATAGAATCACTCTATGGGACTATTCATCCTCAACTTTTGGGCTGCTTTCTTCGCCTCTTTGTGTGATCGCTCATTTTCCACACGTAGAGTTTTGCACAAAACAATGGCACTTTGTGCAACACAGTAGCTTTGCCAAATTATCAATTTCCAGTCTTCATAGTTCCATGATATCCCTCTTTGTTTTAACACCGGTATAAATTAATCTTGCACTAGAAATAATTAAATGATATTGAAGCCTTTGGTGTATATCGATTCCATACTAAATACAATGTTGCTCTGGGGAATTTTTGTAAGGCATATATAAAGGGTTTAAATATGACATTAAAATCTGTTGAGTCAGTTGCAGAGGTGTTGTGGTCCAGTGGATAATTCTCTAGACTGAACCACGAAGTATAGCGTTTGAATCCTTGCTGCAGCATTTGAATGTATGTCATCTGGTAAGATATATTTTATAAGTGCATTATCACAAAGCAGCTTGTAAAGAATGTGCTGCAAATTACCTCCATATTTCTTCGGGGAGGAATTATATTCTCATTTTCTTTTCCAAAACTATTTGATGTCAGGGTGCATTTTCCCAACAATAGAAAATCTAAGAAGTGCATTGTGTGATTTTTTTAAATTTGCAGGTCATTGCTGCAATGCCAGATACAAACATTTCTGACTTGGAATTCACAGTGCCAGAGAGACTTACAGATACAGGTAAAAACAATTTTTTTGTCAGTGATGATACTTGTATAATTTTAAATTTTGAAATCCATGCCAAATTACTTCATTTTTTTGTGTAAATCGAATAAGTAATAGCGTAATTGAAATTAATTTGTTGCAGTGTGTTGAAACCATGTCCTTTTTAGAAAATGAATGCTTTCACATATTTATCTTAGCTAATTTCCATTCTTGACCGTTAGGAAGTTACAAAGTGTTATCACTCAAGTTCAGTAATATGGTTTAAAAAGAGACATGTATCATGCACTATAATGAGTAAACTGTTAGCATTACATATATCTATTATGTTTACTGTATGTATTTATTATTATGTTTACTGTTTCATGATTAATCCATTATTTTTTGTAGGCTTTATTATTTAAAAAAAAAGAGGGGGGGGGGTGGGTAATGATAGTTGATATTTGATATTTGATAACAATAATATTAGTCGGTTCTTGTATAGCGCTCATATCTGTCAGACTTGACACTCCTGGCACTCCACAGTATAATCCCTGCTTTAGCATGGCTAAAATTACAGCGCTCTAGCATTTCAAGGAATTAATTCCTGACAGGTACCCATTTACATCACCTCGATAGAGAGCGGCGAAAGTAAATTAATGTCTTGCCAAAAGACATGCTTTGCGGGACTTGAACCGCAGACCTTGTGATCCACAGTCCGGTGACATATACACTGTATGTATCCACTCGACCACGACGCCTCTATTTAGTGCTCTCCAAAGCTAATATGGAAAGGATGTCGACTTCCTTTGTTTAGAACAAGAACGGCATTAACTATGTTATGAAATATATATTTTAACAATCTTCTGGCTCCAATGAGTTGGGGCTATATAAGACAAGCATACATACAGTACATGTACATGGACCCACCCCTCTTCCCCCCATACCCCACATACCGACCGTTACATGTATAAAGGCAGAGAATGATAGTATAGACAGTGATTAATTGTTGCTAGTCTATCATGAATTGGAATGAATTGAATTATGTTCATCGATCAATACCCTACAAAAAATACCATCCTGGCCTTTACAAAATGATTGCAATTTGCAGTAGTGACAGCTCATCGTTATACACAATGGAAAAGTAGATTTGTTCATTCATCACAGCATTGTGCATTATGCAAAGACGTCTGTCATAGAAGCAGGCAACTGGCTCCCTACTTGCCCAAAGCCAGTAGAATAGTTTCTTTGCATGAGATGGATGGTTATTGTCTGGCTTACAGAGTGAGCGTGTAATGTGTCTTTAGGGAATCAATTGTAATGGCAGCTTGCTAGATACAAAATATACATACATGTATGCAAGATGCATTAACACTTTGACTTCTGCCAGAGCCCAGATATGATACAAGATATTCAAATGTAAAGTGTTTTTTCCTTAATCTCATTCATCTTCTCTGTCATGCACACCAAATCTCAACCACAAAATTGTATATTCTACAGCTGGTTGGATTAAAAGAACCTTTTTTCCTTTCTGAATAAGAAAAAGATACTTGAATCATGAAGGTTTTTTTCATTAGAATATATATGAGTCAGGTTTACACGCCATTCCATTGAGATTAAATTTAGGTTTTACCCTTTAAATATAACTTTTACATGTAGTTAGGGACTGTGTGGCTTCACTCGTGGTTATAACAAAACTCTGAATTTCAGTTACTAAAAGTTATAAACCACGGCAGATCTAAGGTTAGTGTGATGACTAGGACCAGTGAGGGAGGGGGGGGGGGGGGAGATCCACAATAGAAGTTATGTGTCATGCAGAGGCAACTAACTTTAAGGTTATGCCAGCTTGTAGTTATAATGAATACTTGCCTTGTAGTGTAAAACTTTGAATAATTGTTGTTTCAGTGCGGTGTGAACCCTTATGAACTGTGAACTGCTTATCTCATGTCATACATCTCTATGCTGTGGAATTCAAGTGTATTGTTTTTGTTAGCGGTTACTCTCAATATTAACAGAATCACACTCCAGTAGGTATTTTAGTAACCTTGTCCTTATTTTAAATGACCCTTTTCGTGGAGTTTCTCCCTTACAATTTTTCATCTCCAAACTCCTAGGTTGCTTTTTCTTTTCTGAAATTCTACTTCTTTAAGTAATTAAAATGATGGCAAAAGTCACGTTATTAGTTCAAGCCTAGAAACATGTCTTATAGATTATTAATGGACTACACTGTATGTACATGTATACATTGTATAACTAGATATCCAGCCCTTAGCTATTCTCTTATCTAGTTTATACGTTGCTTGAAATTCTGGCCTACTTTTTTAGTTCATGCGGAGGACAGTTGTCTTAAGGCACATTTTTTCATTAATTTTGTTAAAGGTAATACAAAGTTTTGGGAAATTTTGAAAATTGGGTGGATAGTGAATCTTTACAATTTTGATATATTTGGATGCCCCTGTGGATGTATTATAAGCAATAAAAAATTAGCCCCTAAAACACTTCTGTTATCGAGAAAAATTGAATATAGAAATTTACCGGTGCTCCCGGTAAATTTTGATAAATTTCAAATAGCGCCTATGGCCGTACAATGGTAGCTGCGACCATGAAAATCTCAGAATATGTAGTTGTGATAATTTCCAAACGGGAGTAGCTAATCGGTCGATTTTAGTCAAGAAACATTGTTTCATAGCTAAATTAATATCTTGACCTTGAGAGGGAGCTATACAACATAAAGAGTTTATTATTTATAATTTCATAACTTTAGACTCAATTTCAACCGCGACAACGATCAATGAATATTGTAGGAACGCATATGCTTCCAATATGTTAATTTGAACCAAATATATGACCCCGTACCAAAACTTTGTAATACCTTTAAAGAGTGTAGAAGAAAAAGGAGGAAATTGTCCTTTGAAAAGGACAGAGTCTCTTCATTCTAAATATGATCAAAAATAGCTGAAAACTTTATAAGACCAAACTTCATGCCACATATGAATTAAATCCTATTTACCCAGTCCATGTGATCTTCTGCAAGATTGAATTAATTTTTGTCATGTTGATCATCCCAAACATTACAGTTTTACAGGTACACTGTACATGTAAGCCTACATCAATTCTTACGTACCAGATTCTCAACCTCTCCCGATTGCTTCCCCAATCAGTTTCGTAACACAGTGCAATCACATGACCTGTACCAAATGTATCCCGACTGAATCCCATGGGGAATAGTTGAGACTATTGTAAAGCTAGCATAGACAGGAAAGGAACGACTTGATTACTACATTTGATATGTTTGGGCCACAGACGAGATCATACAAGTTGTCTTGCTCCAATAAGAGCTCAAGATATCTCTACCGACAAGGAGGTCAAAAGTGCGAACAGAAACTCTAGTTGTGAAGGCACAGATACTTGGATAGAGGATGGACAAATCACCACATTTTTATGGCACGATTCCAAACCTTAATGGAGGTCATGTAGAAAGAGGTTTCTGAAGAAGCACTCTTTATATGACATGGGAAAGTAAATTGATGCATTTATATAAATTGCAACCCAGGTAGGATTTCAAGATGTAGAACATTTACTATCTGGTACAAAGAATTCTGAGATGCATATTTAGAAAGGACAGTTTTTCACCACTTGAGGCATTATCATTCATATTAATAGACCATTTCAGATTCTGTATTAAGTTTTAAAGAAAAATCGATAAATTTGGATAGGAATACACGAGTAAAGAACTTAATTATCTAATAAAAAAAATCATTTTGTAAGTTATTAGCAGGAAAAATATCTCTAGAGTGCAAATTATTGAATTACATGATTTACAGCTGGCTTTGAAAAAAAAACTGAACATAAAATAAATTATAAGAATTGGATTTCATCATGACCTGTTAAAATAATACATACCGGTAGTAAATAAAATTGATGAACATTTTTAAATTCCAACAGACCTACACAATTAAATTTCATTATCAAAGTGTCTTAACTTTCCTCTAAGAAACACAATCCCCCTCCCCCCAAAAAATTAAAAAATGTTGATGCATGTTTGTCAATACAGACCTTGTACAGTACAGACCTCTACATTTAAGTTGAAAATACCTTTACCCGGTATAGATATATTTATCAGCTGAACTTTATAGCAAATATATCTGATATGATGATCAAGTTAAATTCTTTTAGTAGGAATGAATATTTGTGAGTCTTGAAGTGACATCAAGTCCCCATTTTCTTATTCCACACTCAATATTTCTCCTTTATTGTACCATTACATGTATATGGGACTTTGTTGGAATATTGAACTTGCCCTTTAATTCTTAAAGACAACCGATAAGGTTTCTAAGATCAAATCCAAATGCACATTTCGTTTTAAAAAGGGCTCTGGGCATGAAAAATTTCCTTGAATTGGCTGTGAGCACTTTATAGATACAATGTATCTCTGTTTGACTGAATCCATAGTGATATTGATACAATGAATTTACTAGTGCTTATTCCCATTACATGATAGCCTTTCTAGAAACATTGAAAAGCAATTACTTAGTATTATTCATATTTTATGGAAGCGTACAGTCATACATGTATGTCCTAATTCTTGAGGCACAATAATCAATTGGATATTAGTTAACTTGTAACAAACACCGACTTCTGTAGTCTATACAGGTAGTAAAGAAAAACAAACAAAAGAAATTTCAGAAACAGTTTTCATGTACACGTAGGCATTGCTTGCGATGTATAGATCCAAGATTGTTTGCAAGCATGAACATCAGCAAAAGCAGCACAAATTAATATTACATGTAGGTTATGACCTAAAAACTTATGTTTTAAATCTACATTAATAAATACTGGGTAGTGACTGAGTGACATCATTTTGTACACTGTAATGTTTAAAGGGATAGTTGAGTTCTGTTTTCAGACCGCAAATGCCTTCAAAGTACATGGTTATTGCTCTTATATTCTTATCTACACTGTATGACATTTCTAGTGCCCTTTTAGAACCTAAATTTGCTATGAAGGTAATTTTAGACCCCTAAATGTGTGAAATTTAGCCAATACGATCATACCAATTCAGCTCCACTTTAAAAAAAAACATGGTGACCGCTAATTAATTATTTAATTAAAAATAACAATACATGAGCCAGCTAATTGTGGGTAATACATACATGTATAAGCAACATGAAAATGCCAACAAAAAAGCCAACATCGGCATTGGCTGAAATACAACGTAAAAGGTGTTATTTTTTTTTTTTTAACGTTTTTTTCAAATTTGTCAAAATATCTAATATTTGTGGTGGTACACAAGTATTAGAAATCGTTTTATTTCAGCTGTCTCTGAACCAATTTTGATCAAACAAAGATGATTTTGTCATTTGAATATTATGTTCTTTCAAATTTGACACTCAGTTTTTCATTATCTAACAAAAAAATTATTTTGTGTATTGCCCTCTGCAACAGAACTCAACTATCCCTTTAATAAGTTGCTTGATGCAACATTTATACAATGTAGAGCATAATTCAGCATCGTACACGTGAGGAGGAAAAAAATGAAAACGCTGTCACCCTTCGCTTGCCACTCTTAAATGGTGACTTAATATTTTTTTTGTTGAAATTCTTTGAAATGAGTTCATAGCTATTCATGCTCCAATCTGCCTATTCCTGGTGGAGCTACATGCAGACTTCTGATATCATATTTTTCATTTTATTATTGTCTGTAAAGTACCTGTTTCCAAGTACAGTCTGTAACTTATCCACATTTCCTACCGACTGAAAAATATTTCCGCCAGAATGAAAGAGACTTGATACATCTGAGTATTGGTTGTGGAATTTTTTTGGTACATCGAAGAAAAAACGTCTGCATGGAAGAGATTCAGTAGTGATTTGTAAGGTTCTGCTGTGTAGATAAACAGGGATCTTGGCTGTACCTGCTGTAGTTATTATCAGAGGTTAGGTTACAATTCAAGTTGAGCTCGTTTCTGGGAGCTTTGCTTGTTTGATTTTTTTCTTTTAAAAATATGAGGATCTAGGAGCCTCGAGGAGGGTTCAGTTTTTGTGTCCCTTTTAAGTCACACATACAGGTAATGATATCGGGTTTACATTGCAATTAATACATTGACGGTGTCTCCAAGTGCTTTACAAACTTATTATTTTAGAAGGGCATCAAGAACATGTATTAGATGAAAGCACAAGTGTGTCATACAATGTACCAAACACATACCTTCTTATCCTGTGCATGTCTTCATGACATTTTAGAACATTTGGTCTTTTTGATAATTTCTGAAAATCATTTTCTATTCAGTAGCATATTTTGATACATGTAAATCTAGTGAGGATCTAACAATAAATTAAACCACACAATACCACTGAGCTTACAAACAAACAACAACAAACAGTTCAGTTTCGTCAGGCAAGTTTCTAATGACTTTTTGTCACTTTTAAACTTGATACAGTCAATATTCCATGATATTTTAATCCACAAGTCGTAGAGTCATTTTTATTTTCAAGAAAAACAGTGTAAATGTTTTCCACCGTAGCTAATAAATATTAGATACAATATTTATCAAAGTTGGTGCAGCTTCAACTGCCTTTGGCACTGACATTGTTAATTTTAGTGGATTTTGATAAGACAGGGGATTTACATATTATGAATTTTCACTCGGGTGGCCTTTATATAGCAGTCAGGTGTTCTTCTGATATCATACACGTGCCTGAGACTGATCTCCGTTCAGGTATTAAGAAAATATATTAACTTGAATAGGAGAGACAGTTTTAAGAATTACAATGAATACTTTTCCAGTTTTGTCAAACTGTACAGTTGTTCTGACGATATATTCTGATAGTTATTGCCTATAAAGTAGCTTGTATAATATTCAGTAGATAAGAATAGTACTGAGGGTAACATTTTTGAAATTCCAGACCTCCATGATAATCAGTAGAGGGGAAAATTACATGAAGCAAAGGGGAATTTCTGAGATGAATTGAAATTACTGAAAGCACTGAAAAGAAATATTGTTGTTTTTTGTTCAAAAAGAGGAAGGTTTTTTTAAAATCATTTACTGTCAAACCATAAATTTCACTTGCATGAAATATTCACAAATATTGCGAGTGGCTCAGATTTACAAAATGTTTATGCCATAGAATAATCAAACCAATATTGACACAATAAAGTTTTGAACTTTTGTGCAAAACTTTCTTTCCATACATGTATAAACGACCGTCCTTAACAATTCAAGAAATTTTCTAGTTTTACATCAGGGCAATTCTTTCCTCAGTTGACATTCATAAACACATATTATGTGTTTTGAAACAGGGAATTCATAGGGGAATCTCATTAACCTGTTGATTACTGAACTCTCATATTCCCATAGGCTTAATACACAAACCACCCTGTTACAGTAAGCAATGGGTTACTAACACTGTGACTTATATCAATTTGCTTGAAACTATAATTTTCCAAGCATTTCAGAATAAACTCACACATATTTCAGACCCTTACATACATTGTATATTTTGACATTTTAAAGCTTGTTAAACAGTACTTTTTAATTTTTTGTGTGTTGTTGTCCTGTCTGGTATTGTAGGGTGGGAACAGAAGCTTCACAATGCTGTGTATAGACATCTTAGACACTACAAACCCATGCCACACCCTGACACACCCCAAGAGCAGATGAAGGAATCTTTGGCATACATCCGCAGAGCGCAGGTAAGAATATCAATTACTTGTCTTTGCAAACATTTGCCGTACATGAACTTTGAAAGTGAAATTTTGAGTCTTCATTCCATATTTTACCAAACACTTTTAATGACCCATACCCTAAAGCTTACAAAATGTACAATTGCAACCAGGGCCCGCATTCAATTCAATACTTAAGTACAAAATTTAAGCTTTTTACTTAGTATTTGGCTTAATAAAATACTTAGCCAATTTTGGTATTCAATTCACACTTTTGGCTAAGTATTTTACCCTAAATCTAAGCCAACTCCATACCAGACTTAAGCCAATTATTTGAAGGCCTTGATTGGCAGGCATATGGTTTTCTTACGCAGTATTATAACCTGCGCACAATTATATCAGCACGGATTTATTGCAATGCATCAATTGCGCATTGCTTTTGATTGACTGTGTGACGTCACAATGCTTATCAGTAAGTATTTTACTTAGATTTTGTCTTATGTAAGTATAAGCCTAAAATGCAATTTGAATACGAGATAAGTAAATTTCTTAACTTGGCCATTTACTTAGTAAATTTCTTACTTATGCTAAGTATTGAATTGAATACTGGTCTGAACTATAACTCTTTATTTTCGATGAAATAAGCGTGAACAATTGTTGCTCAAGCAATTGTTAGATCATTTTCAATTCCCATTGTGTCTTTGCAAACATTTACATTACATGAACTTTGAAAAGTGAAAATGTTAGTCTTCATTCATACATTCATATGTATTGAACACTTTTATCCACCAAAACCCTAAATCTGACAAAATTTACAATTGCAAGTTTGCAACCCGAACTATAATTAAAATTAATAATGATAATAGTTTGTTCTTAAAGCGCTTTTCAGGACCACAGGCCCTCTCAAAGTGCTTAACAGAAATATATATATTATTACCCCGATCATCGGATTCAGGCTTACTCGCACACAATTTATGCAAATTCTCCACTCCCTGGGGAACATTCCAGCCATGCGTCATTTTTACAAGCACATACTTGCTCGTCTAACCACATTAACTTCTGCATCCTACTGGGTACCCATTTAACACCTGGGTGGGTAGTGGCGAATGTAGATCAATGACTTGCCAAAGGACCTATGTGCAACGGCGAGACTTGAACTGCAGACCTTGTGACATATCCATAATTTGACCAAGACACCTCTATTTCTATATCTTTGATGAAATAAAGCATGAACAGCTGTTGCTCTAGCAATTGTTGGATACTTTCAAGTTCCATTGTGTTGACCACAAGATGAGATGAAATCTCGGTGTGATAATGAATTGAGATTGGATCTCGTGTAGGACAGCGAACATTCAACATTATCCAAATACCGTAGGCTAATTAAGAATCTAGAAAAATTCTGTCAAGTGGTCAAAACCTTGGATGCTTTTTTCCAATTTTATAGGAACCCTTTACAACTTTGCCAAGAGCTCGATTGGTTACCAGGTGCTAATGCATTCAAATTAATAATTATGTGTCTAGATGGAAACCATACACCTATTACCAAGTTCTGGGAGAAAAGGGTGGAAGCAAAATGCTATGGGGCAATTTCAGTTTGAAATTCTGTGATAATTAGATGGATACCCATCAGCCTGTCCAGCCTGGGTAGTGTGTGTTCACACTGGCAGGTGAAATGGTGCATACCACAAATGTGTATGGGGGTGTGTGTGTGTGTGTGTGTGAGAGATAGAGAGAGAGAGAGAGAGAGAGAGAGAGAGAGAGAGAGAGACTTAGACAACGTCACATGAAGACAGACAAGTTACAGCAGAGAGAAATCAAGCGATTGGGGAGGGGTGGGGGAAGAAAAATGAATCAAGAGATGTGAGTAAGAGATAAGAGCAGGAAGGGGAGAAGTACATAATGTAAGTGAGAGAGGGGGGGAGAGAGAGAGAGAGAGAGCGGGGGGGGGGGGGGGGGAAACATTCTATGATAATTTTGTTCTTCTCCTGTTCTCTTGGTGCCCTTACATGTACATGTATGTTCCTACATGATACATGTAGCCTGTCCCCTGTAGGAAATTACCCGGGAAAATAAATCAATAACATATATAGGATGACTTGTGCACTGAACATAACATGTATTCAAAAGTATTGAAGCAAAAAAAAAAAGAATAAGGTATAATGCCCCAGGAACTTTGACTCTGTCTTGGATGTCATGTATAGGTGCAATATTCATAGATGAACATATTCTACTTACTTTAAACTTTGCAAATAGATTTAGATATGTGGGATATAGCTTAGAAAAAAAGGGATTCATTTGTTTTTGTTATCATACGGGCATCACAAAATGTTGGGTAGAGGCAGAAAGGGAGATGGGCTTAAAGGAAAAGTCCAGTCTGAAATAATGTTGATGCAATTTAAAGCTGAAAGTTTAGAGATTCTGATTCCACTAAAGTTCAGCGAAAAACAGAAAATTACAACGATGAAAATAGCTGAATGAATTCGGAACTCAGCCTTGAAAGAGTAATATTGAATACAGTCAAAGCCAGTAAAATCTTCTGAAAACCTGGATGTTTTTTGCTCTTATAGTATATCAATCACCAAAATAGATTTTGCTACACCTGTAAAGTCAGTAGTTCCATGTCATAATTATACAAGAACCCAATCAGGGAATAATTTTCCTCAAATTTTTTGATTAGCAATTTCAGCCGATGGATAAATATTTCAAATGAAATTCTGTACATTTCTATGGAAGAAAACTGCTACACAAAAGATATTTTGTATAGCAGTCATGCAAAAATGCATAGCAAATTGCGATGCGATACCAGGAAAATTATTCCCTGCCAATATTATTTTACTTCTTCAAAGATGTTTTGAAAGTTCAAATACACTTTCAGTTCAAATTTAAGCATCTATAGGGGCGGGGGAGTCCCACTTGGGTTTCATGTGCACTGTTTTATTATCATTTTTTCTTATCCATACTCGCTATATCCGTTAGCCCACACAATGCCTGATGAAGGTTTTTGAGGTTGATGTTTTACATGTCCATACATTCTAGCTGTACACAAGTTATATTTTAGTTGATTGGTACGTTTTAAGGACAAACAGCATGGGTCACAGCATGTGACACACTTTTGTATGTTGTTGTTTTTTAGTACAAGAGGCTTTTCTAATAACAGCAAATGAAAAAGAAAGGAAAAGTGAGAGGATGAAAAGATCATTCAAGATAATTCTCTGCACAAAGCTTGAAAACAAAAAATAATCTTACCTTTTAAACATGGCTTAGATATTATCTAGTCTGTATATGAGTGTAATTAAAGCCTTTAGCAGTCTTGATAAGCCTCTAAAAGCATTTCAGAAGATTTACTTGGTTCATCTGTTTTGAGTGGATAAACAGGAAGATGCATTTCAAAGCTGCTGCAAAGTTTTCTTTTTCATTTTTAGTTGAAAAAAGGAAGGTGAAGAATAATTTAGATCCCTGATTTGAAAGGCATTAATAGTAGGATTCATTTCAAAACTGATGCGTGGTTGTGTCCAATTTCATCTAAAGTTGAAACTAAGAGGTGAAAACTAATTGAGATCTCTGATTATAAACTGATATGATCTGAATTAATTGTTGTTTACACTTACAGCAAATGTTAAATGAACAGTTTCATCAGGCCATATATTTTGAAAATGAAAATATTTGTCTTTCTTCTTAAAGTTTCAAACACGTTTGTGACTAGTATGAATAAATGTACATGTAGATATCATTGAATAACCTTTGTATTCAGAAAAAATAAAACGGGGCAAGATAATTGAAAACTTGCCTCATGCAAGAATATTTGATGACAAGGGTAAAGACAATTTTTCTCTCTCCCTGTTTCTGACTTCATCTTTTTCTCTCTGTCTCTGTCTGTTTGTCTGACTCTCTCTTTCTCTCTGTATCTGTCTGTCAGTCTCTGTCTTTCTCTTTCTCTGTCTCTATCTTTGTCTCTCTCTCTCTCTCTCTGTCTTTGTCTCTTTCTCTCTCTATTACGTCAATACAAAACAAAAATCATGCTTGATATGCTCATTTAATACATTCATATATTCATGTACCTGTATGTTCATTTGTTGCTGCTAATGTGAAAATTGAAATTTCGCTTTAATATTTTCTTCTCTGTTTTGCTTGTCTTTTACCCACAGTCTACCTGGGAGAAAAGGATCTTAAAGAGTCTCAACAGTATGTGTACAGAACTCTCCATTCCACTGGCCAGAAAGGTAATTATATATCTAATCTCTTGTGGCCCCATGTGCTATTCATCAAGTGTTTCATAATACAGGTGTATGAGCTATTTTTCCTCTTCTGTTTATGAATGCAGTGTTCGCCCTTTGTTGCAGCATTCTGTATTCAATTTAACTAATTGGTCTGTATTCATATCCCCATTGTGGTAATGTGTTGCCAAATTCTAAGAATATTTACAAATCAAAAAGTATATAAAAAATATGAATTTCAGTAAAAAAAAAAAAACAATAACAAATATGATACTTTGGTGGCATAACAAATTAAAATCAATGTAGAATTAAATTGGCATTTAGATTAGGGTGTAGAGTGAGATTAAAGTTCTGATATAAAAAGATAAATTATACGTATATACATGTACATGTATGTCTGTCAGCAAAGAGATGTTTTCTTTGTACCGGTATATGGATGGGTTGAATGAGAGGATTGCATTATCCTAGATGTAAAGTAAGGTCACTTAGAATTGAAAGTGTGCCAATCGCCTGAAGAAGAAAAAAAAAACTGTGTATAGCTATAGCTAAAGGGATACATCAACCTCTATAAACTTTGCCTGACTTTCTATACATGTAGGTGAACAGTTTAAAGGAGTATGACAAAATTAAGAGATAACATAAAACCCTGCGTATAGCGCACCATTTCTATGCGAATGTGGAGGCATGTTTTAAGTAGTCTTCTCAACAAGGCGTTTTACAGTTCACTGGGAGTGTATTTAAACTGCAATAGCCATTCATGCTTTCATGCTCTGCTCCACGTTGGTGGAATTCTCTTCCATCTGTTGCAGCTCTGATTCAACTTTGTTTAGATCAAAATGAAAAACCAATCTAATGGAAAAGGCATATTCAACCTAGTTCTTAAATTTTAACCTTACCTTGTTATCTAATGTTTGATAATTTCACTTTTGTTCTCTTGTCATTTCTCCGTTTAGTTTTACTTGCATCAATATTGTAAAGCGCTTTGATAATAAATCGCTTTTGAACAGCGCTGTATAAGTAGTAGTTATTATTATATTATTATTACTATTTCTAGAAGAATGACTTGACTCATAGTTTGAGCGGTTCATTTTAAATTCAGGACACAATAAGTCGATTTATTTACTATTTCTAGTGCTTGACCATCAAAGCAATAGAGAGAGAGAGAGAGAGAGAGAGAGAGAGAGAGAGAGAGAGAGAGAGGAGCTTCATACTTCATTGGTCAAGATGTAGGACAAATTTAGGACACAGTAGATAAATGCATTTACTCTTTCTAGTACTTGACCATCTAAAAAATAATGAGGAGGGAGAGAGTAGCTAGAGAATTTGTTGGTCAAGACATAGGACAAATTCAGGGCACAATAAGGAAATACATTTAATATTTATAGTGCTTGACCATCAAAGCAATAACGAAGAGGGAGAGAGGAACTAGGGACTTCAACGGTCAAGACGTAGGGGACCACATATGACACGTGTCTCGCAGGAACAAGTAGGGATAGTGATATTAACCCATTTGAAACAGTTTGGCTATTAAAGTAATCATTCCACCCCAGTTAAGGAGGTATTAACCATACAAATACCACTTTTATATCTACACTGTAGTTGCTTTTGTGTAATGCAATGTCGCCTCTCTCTGATATAAGAGTACACTTCCATAATATCACATTGTGTGTTCAACAAATTTCTTATATTACAAAATACATAGTTACTTTTGTAGTTTGATAGAGAAGCAGCGAACGAATTTAATTGGTCTATTTGGGACCCTCCATACAGGGACTCTCCATACAGGGACTCTCCATACAGGGACTCTCTATACAAGGACCCTCCATACAAGGACCCTCCATACAGGGACCCTCTATACAGGGACCCTCCATACAGGGACCCTCCATACAGGGACTCTCCATACAGGGACTCTCCATACAGGGACTGTGGGTCTGACCATCAGTCTACAATTATCTGTTAATTCTTGAACTGGCTGTTGTTCACAATTCATATCTTTAAAAAGAAATCAAAACAAATGTGCTACTAAGCGTTTTATTAGAGTCATGACTCAGGGAATACTGCGAAGCTAGAAAGAAAAAAAACCCAAATTTTTGCTCCACATAGACTTTAACTTTGTTTTCGAAACAGAAAGAATCATGCAAATTGGAAGTTGGTTATCTATGAGTATGAAATGTCTACACACTAGTCAGTTCAGACAGAAAATCTTGATAGACATGCTGTTTAAAAATAAAACAATAGAATAATTAGTAGGAAAAACAAAATAAGATGTAGCCTGAGCTATACTCCATCCAGGTATGGGAGGATATCATTACCATATATCAGTTTAGTAATTTGACGATCTTGACCACTACTTTCTCTTAGTTTATTTTGGTATTGTATTGATGGAATTGTAATATTTTTGTCATCTTTATTACCATATTGTACTTGTCATACCTGTTCATTTGGCTCACTATTGTATATTTACTGTATTTATAACTGTATTGTATAATTTGTAAACATGATCAGTTTTGGTCCTTGGACCTTTGAATCATGCATATTTATATGTCTTTTTAAACCAAAATAAATAAATTAATTAATAAATAAATAAATACTACATGTACGTTCATATCTACCGCTGAAGTAGGGTTAGTTCAGACTTTCTACCCCAAAGCTAATATGTCCACATTTCTAGTCCGAACATAGTTCCACTCTGATAATTGAGGGAATTTTTTGCTGGATGTGGGGCAGTAGGTACTTATAATCTGAAGGGTAATCGGGTAGCCTCACTATCAGTATCAAGTATGAGAAAGGGGAGTTTTACAGAACTTACCAGTGGTAGGCCCATGCATTTAATTTTCTTTAAAATGGCTGAAAACAGCTGTGATTTGAAAAGCACCCAGTATTTTTTTTGGATTGAGCATTTCTGAGTCAATACTCAACACCTACATGTACAGCACATACACATGTACATGTAGGAAACAGAAAACATGAATTTGTCATTCTTGTGTATAAATCTTGAAAACGACTGCCCATTATTAACTCTTTTCACTATGTTTTGATTTCTGTATAACATGCATTTCCTGTTGAAGTCATATTATAACATGATGGTAAAGCTTTTACAAAGGGGTTAACAAGCTCTGATATGAAAAGCATACAATGTTGAGTTTGGGTCGAGTGCACATATCAATGTTCTACACTCAATCCTCTATAGGCTGCACGTGAAAACAAGTCGCTTCTCGTTCCCGCTGTCCTAATTCAGATCCCGCCTCCCTCAGAAACCCTCTTCTGTTTTCCTACCATGATTGGTGCACTCACTCATATTGAATTGACCGATATGAAGGACTTGGCTTTCTGTCTGGGCCACCTGGAGCACAAAGCACCACCTGATATCATATTCTCATCAACTGTTTGTAGATTTAGAGTTAACCTCTAAGGACAAATACTGTAGGAAGTATTTATTTGTTAGACTCTTGTTGAATCATGATACCCATCTACATTTATTTTTCGCACAAGCAAAGTGGAGTTGTCCTTTGTTTTGTTTTATGAATCGCATTTGTGATTGATCAAGTAGCTGACTACAAGTTAGTCTCATTTTGATCGTTAATGAAAGCTCATTAACATTTTGAAATCCCCCTGTATGCTATCAAATTATGATCCATTATACCGATGAATCGCATGTATTTAGTTCTTTAGGTATATTTATGAAGCTCACTTCCGATTCCCACTGTCCTAATTCCAATCCCCCCTCCCTGAGAGACCCTTCTCTATTTTCCTACCATGATCGTGGCCGGCACTCACTCATATTGCATTGACCGATATAAAGGACTTGGCTTTCTCAGTGTCTGGGCCACCTTGAGCAGAAAGGAAGCACCAACCGATATCATATTCTGATCAAGATTTTTGTAGATTTGAAGTGCACCTCTTGGGAAGCATCTATATGAAATATTTTTGCATTTGGATTTTGTTGAACTGTGATACCCAGCTACTTGTGGCATGCACGTGATGAATTTGTTCTTGTGATGTTAACTACCGGTAGTGTTTGTACTGATTTGATTGACCATTTTGTCAATTTGTGTTTTTGTATGTGTGTGTATGTGATCAATAAAGTAACTGATTGCATACAAAATATGTACATGTAGATGTATGTGTGGTATGCCGAGTATAGTTTTTTTAAAGGTTTTTCTTCCATAATCTTGTTATCAAAACTCATATTTTCAGTCACCTTTATTCTATCATCATTATCCATTACTTAGGAATGACATTCTGTAGATCTATTAACCTTTTGACTACTCAATTATCTAATTCAAATAGACTTAAAGGGATAGTTGAGTTCTGTTGCAGAGGGCGCTACACACATTTTTGTTTTGTGAGATAATGAAAAACTGAGTGTCAAATTTGAAAGAACATAATATTTCAATGACAAAATCATCTTTATTTGATCAAAATCGGTTCAGAGACGGTTGAATATAACGATTTCTAATACTTGTGTACCATTACAAATATTAGATATTTTTAAAAATTTGAAAAAACAAAACAACGCCTTTTACGTGGTATTTCAGCCAATGCCGATGTTGGCTTTTTTTGTTGGCATTTTTGTGTTGCTTATATTACCCACAATTAACCAGGTTAATGTATTGTATTTTTAATTAAATAATTAATTAACGGTCACCATGTTTTTTTTAAAAGTGGAGCTGAATTGGTATGATCGTATTGGCTAAATTTCACACATTTTGGGGTCTAAAATTACCTTCATAGCAATTTTAGATTCTAAAAGGGCACTATAAATGTCATAGATAAGAATAAGAGCAATAACCATGCACTTTGAAGGCATTGGCGGTTTGAAAACAGAACTCAACTATCCCTTTAATACATGAAAACCCGGTTCCAGTAGGCAATGGGTTAAAACATTCTGTTCTGTAGAGGCACACCTTTGGCATGAACTATTACAACTTACAATCCTGAGTGAAATGTGTTGAGTGAAAAGAAATGTATTCAGCTACAATGTTCATACTTTTTTTATTCAACTT